AAGGGGCCGGGAGGGGCCCGGCCGGTCCCTGGGCCCAGCCTGGGGCTGAAAAGGGGCAGACGGGGGGGTGCTCGTGTCCTGGCTTCACCCTGCCTTCCCTGTTTTCTGATAACAAAAGTTACTAACTGGGACGAAGCGGGGATTGCAGAATTAGTGCCGTGGAGTAAAGCACTTAGCGGAGCGAGGGGGGAACGACACCCTCCCTGGCCTTTACGTAAAACACATCGAGCCCTCTTTGCTCCGTGCTATCTTAATGTAACCCTCCTCTCGCGAGCAGCGTAAAACGCTGTTACAAGTTCGATTAGGTGTGCTTAAGGGGTTGGGGGTTTACTTTTCCAGGGTGGAAAAATACAGACCAATGAAGCTGTGTGAAATAGTTGGAAATGAAGACACTGTGAGCAGGCTGGAGGTGTGTTGCTGTTCCTTTCTGTTTCGTAGGTTAGCTCAGAAAACGTAATTCCGCCTAGATCCCCAGACCGAAAAAGCACTTTTGTGTTTTGAGGTGCATACTGGAGTAAAAGGAAAAAATTTTCTCACTTAACGTAGAAATCATACAATTGAGAACATAGCGGAGCGGTGTTCTAAAGAAATACTCCTTCTCCAAGTGGGATGTTGCTTACGTTGGCCCTGTTTTGGTATGAGTTAGAAAACTTGTAGCTGTTACAATAATAGTGTTTCAATGAATAAATGTAGCTTATACTGCAATGGAAAGAAACATAATGAGCGGTTTTTCCTTCTGGAAGAAAAATATTCTCCTTGATAAACTGGTTTGTGAATGCAGTGCTTGTAAGCAGAAAGCTCATACTAGCAAATATGTAATTAAAGCAGATGGAAGGGCTAAAAACTCTGCTATTAAGTGCTTTTAAGTTTTCTTCCATGTTATTCTAGGGATTGACTTCTAACAGATCAATTAAAAAAACATGAAAGCAGTGAGGTTCAAAAAATGGAAGCAGGAGGGAGGAAAAGAAATTATTAGCTCCTTTTCTCATGGTTAAAATGGAGTGGAATTGGGAACTGTTTGGTCCCAGTTTTCTTATATCAATAATTTTTTTATTATTTTATCTTAGGTCTTTGCAAAAGAGGGAAATGTACCAAATATTATAATTGCTGTAAGTATTGCTATGCTGTACTGTATTTCACTATGTTGGTCCTAGCTTCTGAAACTGAGCCACAGTAGCCTCCCCGTATAGATTTGCATGGCTCCTAAATGTATGGGTAAAAGAGACCCTGATTATATGGTCACAGAGCAATATTCTTGGCAGAATGCAAAAGAAAACCTGAGAATTAACTTGGTCCTTAGGTACCTAGTGAAGCATGTCTTGTACTTCTCCCTGCAGCTTTTCTGTCCACTGTTGGAGGCTGGATTCTGAACTCAGGCAACTCCTAGTCTGATGTTCTCTCTGCAGTTCCTCCGTTGCAGCTGTTTTTCCTGACTGCGGGCATTGCGGAGAGCAAAAATTAGAAAAAGGCATAAAACTTAACGGCCATTGTTGCATTCCTAGGGTCCGCCAGGAACAGGTAAAACCACCAGTATCCTCTGCTTGGCTCGCGCTCTGCTTGGTCCTGCATTAAAGGATGCTGTTCTGGAGCTGAATGCCTCAAATGATAGGTGAGGATGAGAGCTGTATAAATCTAATCAAAGCTTTAATGAAGAAGCAAGCATCCATTTTTATTTTTAGTTGAACTCAGGCAGGCTTGATAGGCTTAATGCTGCAGTAATGCCTCTAATACTTATTTTTAATGCAGTTTTTCCAATTAAAAGTTAGGCAATCTTTGGCTATACACCTATTAATGTAGCTATTATCACCTGATATTTTACCAACTTGATAGATATTTTCAAACACAAAAATATAAACAGATGGTGTGCAGAATCTGTAATGGTACTGTCTTCTCAAGTTTACTTTAAGGAGTTAGGCTTCTTGCATTCATAAAGACCCTCCTAAGAATGAAAAGCGAATAAGTTGTTTGGAATGGATCTCTTCAGTGCTTAGGACAAAAAGTGATAGAAATTAGACCTGTAAAGGTAGTTGATTAAACTGTAGGATGAGCGTGTTACATATGTAGAGGGCACTGAATCTTTTCCAAGGATCAGGTGCTAAAGCCTAATTATAATATTTTCCTAAGTCCTTTAGCAGACCCTGTCCTGAAGTATTGTGAGGACTACAATGGAAGGCTGTATATGAGCATAATACATTGTACTGCCTTTGTTAATATCAGTTACAGAAGAACTATAGAATTATGACATTCCTTGTTCTAAACAGAACAAAAATAAAATGGTTTATTTTTAAAAGTAACTCTTTGGTGGGCTTCTGTCTAGGAAAGTGTCCGTGTTGTGCTAATACAATGCAGTTTGTCCAGCTATTTCTCTTAAACGGTTCTGAGTTACAGCTGAGTCTGAGGGCATAGCTACATAAAGTATCGGCAAAGTGGCAAAGCAGTCTTAAAAGCTCCTGCCCTTGTTTGCTTGCTACCCTTACCTTTTGACAAGCATAACTGCTTTTGTGGCAGTACTGTAAGGTCACTGAAATAATCTTTTAAATTATTTTTTCAAAACTTCCAGAAAGGAGGCTTATGGGGGTTTAAACCTGAATCAGTTAGGCAGTCTGGCTTACAACATGGCATTGTGAACAGTTACGCTGGAACAGCTGATGGAACAGGAACAAAACGGGGAGAATGGGGACCTCAGGAACGCTTAAGCCGCTGCTGCTGAGTAAGATCTGTTATGTAATTTCACCTAACTGATGTTGAATTACTTGAATTATTGTTCCAGAGGCATTGATGTTGTGAGAAACAAAATCAAAATGTTTGCCCAGCAAAAGGTCACACTTCCAAAAGGTCGGCATAAAATAATCATCCTCGATGAAGCAGACAGGTACATTGTTTTTATCTTGACCTCAGCTACCACGTGAAATGTGTTCTACCTATCTTCTGTCTGCAAAGTGGCTGTCATAGGCAGTCTTAGATATTTATATCAGGCTATCAAAAATAACTTGGTAAGAAATAAGTATGCATGGAACAGTGCTCTTATGAGATTCCTCATATCAAGCAGAGATTGCTGCGTTTAAAGGAGATGCTGAAATCTGGGGTGAAACCCTCTGGGATTTAGCTGGATGTGAAATAGCATCATCCAGTTCAGTGGCTATTTTTATTTGAAAAGAGTCTGGCAAACCGTAGACACTTAATTTCACTGAATGAAATTGGGCACATTCTCCGATATCTACATATAAGTTGTAATAGTCTTAGCAGTATTCTCCAGAGTATTCATGATTTAATGTTAATTTTGTATGTTAGTTTTATGGAGGTCTCAGTGACTGTCTGTGTTGCAGGGTGGTCTGCTTACATGCAATGCATAGCCTACCAAGCCAGAATATCAAGTAATTTACAAAGCACTGTCAGAGTAAACTCTGAAGCCTGTACAAAAAGAGTTATTAGGCTGCAGTTAAAAGTCAGTGAAGGGCAAAATCTGTCCTAACTCCTTTTTTTCCCCCCAGCATGACAGATGGAGCACAGCAAGCATTGAGAAGAACAATGGAAATTTATTCCAAAACAACACGCTTTGCACTTGCATGTAATGCCTCTGATAAAATCATAGGTAAAGTGATGCTATTCCCTGCTTTTGAAATATGTTCTCCATACTGCTGGCTAACTTTCAAAGTTTTCAGAAATACCTTGAACCTACCTATTGCAAGAAGCTGTGGTGCTTATGAATCTCAAACCACCTGAAAATTC